GTTCAACATATGCGAATCAATAAATATAATTCACCACATAAACAGAATTGAAGACAAAAATTGTATGATCATATCAATAGATGCAGAAAAGGCCTTGGTAAAATTATTATATTAAAAACACTGGAGAAACCAGGAATAAAAGGAACATGCCTCAACATTATAAAGGCTATATATGACAAAGCTAACATCAACTGAACAGAGAAAAATGAACACATTTCCACTAAAATCAAGAACAAGACTAGGATGTACATTCTCACCACTCCTACTTAATTTAGTTTTTGTAACTCTAGCCAGAGAAATCCGGCAAGAGAAAGAAATTAAAAGGATATAGACAGGAAAAGAAGAAATCAAGTTATTATCTGTTTACTGATAATATGATTCTATATCTAAAAGATCCAAAAAATTCCACCAGAAGACTTCTAGAACTGACAAATTAATTCAGCAAAGTAGCAGGATACAAGACCTTTTTAAATCAATTGCTTTCCTATACTCAATAGTGATTTTCCAGAGAAGGAAATCTGGGCAACTATTCCATTTATAATAATCTCAATAAAATAAAATATTTGAGAATTAATCTAAACAAAGAGGTAAAAAATCTCTTAAATGAAAATTATAAAACACTGAAGAAAGATTGAAGAACTTAAAAGATGGAAAGACCTCCCATGGATTTAGATAGGCAGCAATAATATTGTCAAAATGGGTCATACTACCAAAATCACTATGTAGATTCAGTACATCCCCATCAACATACCAAAGACATTCATCACAGAACTAGAAGAAAAGTCTTAAAATTTACTTGGAATAACAAGAAACTCAGAATAGCATTAGCAATAGTGAGTAAGAAGGTGATGGTGGAAGCATAACAATACCTGATTTGAAATTATACTACAGAACTTAGTAAAACAAACATCATGAATTGGTATCAAAATAGACATAAAAACAATGGAATAGAATAGAAGTCATAGACACAAGCCCACATACTGATCATATGATACTTGACAAAGGTGCCATAAATACATGTTGAATAAAAGATAGCCTTTTAAATAAATGAAGCTGAGGAAAAATGAATATTCATATGTAGAAGAATGAAACCAGATCCTTATCTCTCTCCCTGCACAAAAGTGAAATCAAAGCCGAGCAAAGACTTAGGAATTACACCAGAAACTTTGTAACTGATTGAAGAAAACATAGGTTCACTGCTTCAACATATCGAGATAGGTACCAAGTTCCTTAACAAGACCTCTGAAGCTCTAATAATAAAATTAAGAATCAATAAATGAGTTGGCATAAATATAAAAGCTTTGTAACAGCAAAGAAAATAGTTAAAAGCAAGAAGATAGATCCTTCAGGATAAAAGAAAATCTTTGCCAGCTACTCCTCTGATATAGATTAGTACCCAAAATATATAAAGAACTAAAAAAGTGTATATATATCTCTCTCACCCTCCGTCTTTCCCTCCCTCCGCCCCAACACATACACAAAGAGCAAATCACCCAATCAGGGAATGGTCAAAAAAGGAAACAAATATTTTTCAAAAGAAGAAACACAAATGACCAACAAATATATGAAAAAGAATTGTGATGAGGGAATTGTCAATCAAGACCACATTAAATTCTCTCTCTCTTCAGTCAGAAAGGCAATTAGCAAGACAACAAATAATAATACTACAGGGATGCAGCCACATCAACATTTACAGCAGCTCAACTCACAAATGCTAAACTATGGAGCCAACCTAAGTGAATAGAGATGAATGAATAAAGAAAAGTAGAAGAAAGGGACCAGGGGGAGGGAGAAGAGGAGGGAAGGGAAAATACTGGGGAATGATGCTGATCAAGTCATATTGTTCTATCATGTTCATTTACAAATATGTGAAAACCATTACATTGTGTGTAATTATAATGCACTAATAAAAATATGGGAACAAAAGATCTACAAGAGAAAAAATACATTAAAGACCTAAATTACAATAAGTAAAGCAAAGATAACTCAAAACCTAGGTCGAAGAAAAGAAACAAGGAAGGACAACCCCATTTGTGTCAGGGAGGAGAGTCCTCTGATTGTACTGTCTATATACATGATAGAGTAGAAAGTGAGAAATTCCATTCTGCCTTTCATCTTGCTCTTTGCCAGCCTGAATATGATTCTGTTTCCCTCATCAAGGACTAATCATTTCAGGAATCTTACAGGTAAAAATTTTGGAATTCAGTTATTTTTTTATTGCCAATTTGCTGATAAATTTGTCCTAAAACTAGATTAAAAATTCAGGGATACTTTCATTATTAACAAATGTTTTCAGTTATTATACCAAAGACCAAGAATTATTTTCATTCCATAAAAAAGAAGAAATAGAAGCCCCAAATATCCTATAAAACATACTATAAAATTCTTAGTATAAGATTTTCAAATTTTTCTGTGACATTTTGTTAATTTCTTGAGCAAAATGCTGTTTTGAATCTATTTTTAAGTTAAGAGTTCTATCACTTTCCCTTCACTGGCAGTCCTAATTTTCCATGGAAGCTTTTTTAGAAGGAAAAAGAAATTATCCCCAGAAATTATCTGCACTGAGAATATTATTCAGGAAAATTTTCTTGTGTCAATATTCTACAGTTTTCCATCAAAGAAAGGTAGCTAACCATCATTCAGTTTTCTTCATTCCCTAGTAAATTTAGGAGTTTTGCATCACTTATTTTAATATTAGAATCTTTATTATATCATGTATATTAGAATTATTGCCACAACACATTATCATTAACATAATTGCTTAAACAACACAAAATTATTATCTTAGAGTTCTGAAGGTCAAAAGTTCTATATGGGTTTCACAGGCCTAAAATCAAGATGTTGGCAAGCTGAATTAATTTCTACAGGTGCTAGAGGAGAAACTGTTTCCTTTCATTTGGGTTATTTCGAGATTCAATGCATTATTATTGTAGGACTAAGTTTTCCATTTTCTTGCTGATAGCTACCTGATAATCATTTCCAGCTTCTATTAGCTAACCATATGTTTTGGCTCATGGCCCCATTTCCTCCATCTTCAAAGCCAGAAACAAGGCAAGTCTCTCTCATGTTTCAAACCTCTTCTCTATCTGCTCCTATTGCATCTCTTTGATCCATTCTTCTGCTTTGCTTTTGAGGATTCATGTTATTCTATTGATACAACCTGGATATTCCAAGACAATCTCCCAATTTTAAGGTCCTTAATCTTAATCACATCTGTAATGCCCCTTTTACTATACCTGGTAACCTAATCAAGGATTCTGGGGCTTAGAACCTATGCTCTTTGGGGTAACCATTATTTTGCCTACCATACCATGAAAATATTTGGAACCACAAGATGTTACCTCATACCTGAACAATAAGAATACATAAATAATTACTGAAAATAAAAATGTATTTACTTGTTTACCTATTTTAATATCCTTGAAATGAAAGGTTTGATCCATTTTTAAAAATACTAAAATGTTCTACCTTTCACATTGCAAAATTAACTACTGTTTGATATTAGGAAGTTAGTAATTAACTAGGTGAATTTCAACAATACCCTTGGTATATTTGTTAAATTATCCTTAAATTTTAGTGTTAGGATTTAGTAAGTACACTAGCAGTGCACTTCTGCATTCACATCAACCAAGCATTGATATTGAAAATAAACTGTTGCCAAAAAAAAAAGCAAATCAAATTTTCAAACTTTCATGAAATTTAAAATGCAGTTTTGAAAAATATTGAAAATTATTCATTGCTATCATTAAAATAACTAATATTTTATATGAGTAAAATGGAAGCATAAAATAAAAATATTTTTATATGTTTATTTCATCATCATCCTATTCACTCCATCAAAGTTTTTGTGCTTTTAAATAGACCTAATAATTAACTTAGAAGTAATTAATATAATAAATATATTACATAAATATTATGTATAAGCATATAAATATGTAGGGCATATTTTCTCAATTTTTACATATTAATATGAACCTTCAAAATGGTTGAACATTATTATTATTATATTTAGTATTATTCATACTAAATGTATTCTGTGCCAGGCACAGTGGTGCACACACTTCTGCCATCCCAGCGGCTCAGGAGGCTGAGGCAGAGGATTGTGAGTTCAAAGCCAGCCTCAGAAAAAGCAAGGCACTAAGCAACTCAGTGAGACCCTGTCTCTAAATAAAATACAAAATAAGACTGGGGATGTGTCTCAGTGGTTAAGTACCCCTGGGTTCAACCTCTACTAACCCTCTAATACATATATATGTGTGTGTGTGTGTGTGTGTGTGTGTGTGTGTGTGTGTATCACATAATATATTTAAACAATCTAAAAAATGCTTATCAATTAACCTGATATCATTACTTTTATAAGCATTTTGTAATTGCTAAATCAGATCTAGATTTGTCTTGACTTCAAGTAGCCACTCAAAATGTTATAAAATAATGATTGCAAAGAGCCTAGAATCTTCCCATTTGGAAACATTAGGCAAATTTTTTTAGTACAACTTTTTTTTTTTTTAGATAGGTAACTAAATTTTAAACATTGAACTTTAAAAGTCACAAGAACATTTAAGTCATCATTTTCCCCTCGCACATAATATAGGGGGATTTATTTACTGTTATCTCGAGACAGCTTTTCATTTCTTCCTGTGAAACATACAAATAAAAAATCCCAAATACATTAGCAACAAGTAGAAACCTCTGGGTCTCTTGATTTCTTTATGGTGTTGTGTAATGGATTTTTTTTTTCTGATGACCAAAAGAAAAAAAAAATGTCACAAGTCAAGTTGTACAAATTGTTAGCATGTGGGCAATGAGTGACAAATGATACTCATAATTTTATTTTTATTCAGTGGAATGTATTTTCCCTGTAAAATCATGTTATTTATTTATTCACGTTTTACTTGTGCATTTGCATCCAGTAGATGCACACACACACACACACACACACACACACACACACACACACAGCATTTCCCTTTGAAAGCGTGACTTAAATTCATTCCACTTACCAAACTATTCCCTGAGCCCCAGAGCCAATAGGCTTTAGATTCTGGTAGCGCTTGAGAACTGTGAAGGTTGAGTCTCCCACTTCCACACTGTAGAATTGGTTGTCCACTTTGCTTTTGCTCATGTTGTAATGTTTGGCAATATATGACACATCCACTTGTTTATCAAATCCCTGTTTTAGAACAACAAAAACATGAGAGTAGGGAATAAGTAGAGTGATAATAGATGCAGAAAAGCCTGTTGTTTTTTAATGATTACTGATACTTAGCCATCTGTCATCTAGTTCAGATAATTCACATAGAAAAAAAATGTGTATTAGCTCATGCAAGATTATTTGGTATAAAAGAGCTTTAAAATGCAAATAATTTTTAACATTAAAAACTATTTAAAATGAAATATACTTAGGTTTAATTCACATATTCTTTTCTAAAGTCTTTCATTGAAACTATTAATTTATGAGGCAAGCACATATTGAACATTTACTGGTCTCTAGGACTATACTACATAGTTGAGGATTCAAGTTAATAAGATGGTGATCACTGATAATATGTCTATTATAATAGTCATTTGAGAAAGGACAAAAGAATATATCCACAATCCTTTCTCAGAAAGAACTGAGATACAAACCTATGTGTAGCTCTAATTATTTTAATTAGGTAAATTTGAATTAAACTGTCTTGACTATATTTGTCCTTCATTAAGCAAAGAGTTACTTCAAATTAACCTTATTCTAAGATACCACAAAACACTTTATTTTTTGGAAGTTTAGATTTTAAATTTCTGTTATTGCATTTTCTGTTTATCTTTTTTTAAATATTATTTTTTAGTTGTAGGTGGACACAATACCTTTTATTTTTATTTATTTTCATGTGGTGCTGAGGATCGAACCCAGGGCTTGCTTCTCAAGTACTAGGCGAGTGCTCTATGGCTAAGCCACAACCCTAGCCCTCTGTTTATCTTTAAGAGAAGTTCATGTATCAATCCTATTCAATAATTGAAGAATTTGTCTTGAATCACTATATAGATAATTATTCCTCTTTATATAATCTAAAGACCCATTACCCATGACTATTAACTACTCACACATGCTCTTATATTGTACTTTAGGATGTAAATAGTATAGATTCTAAAGCTAAAAGGAACCTCACAGACTATCAACCAACCTGTCTCCTATGGTACACACTGCTGAATGCCTACACAATAGTTACCCCTTCTTTTTACTGATTTTGTTTAGGTTTTAAACATCCACATTTTCTGTGAGTCCTGCTCAAGCCTAGCAATTGAAAACTTGAATAAGTCATTGATTCTCATTATAGAGTTGGCATTAACACATTGGGGACATTTGGGAGATTTGTTACATGTTTTAGAATGATAGGAAATATGGCTTATATTTATCTGCCTTGTCAAAAAATGCTGGTTGGCCTTCAATGAGTGGAACATTCTCACACAGTAAATAACTTCACACATACCTCACAATTTTTGAAGGTCCTGCCAAATCTTTAATGAAAAACCTACCAACCAAAGAATTTTGTGTGTTTTTAATATATGCTAATTTTTCTGAAAATCTAATTCTTATGTTATTTGAAAGAATATTTTAAATCTCCTGAGGCTCTGAATTTCCAGGTTAGTTATGATATCATTTTTCTTGGAAAGTTTTGTCATTTTATCTCTAAATAAAAATCTTAAATAGAAGTACTATCTAATTTTCACCTGATCTCCTTGGAAAGGGACCCATACAACACTGATAAGGAAATGAGGAGAATCCAGTGGGGACCATTTGAACATGGGTAGTAAAGTCTACAATTTCAGTGTGAGAATCTTAAAACTTCATATAGGTGAGGCAGAGGTGAAAGTATAACACCAGCTATGGTTGGGTGAGACATGATAACAACATTCAGTACAAATGCACACAGGCCTCAAAGAATAAAGTGGACTACAGATTAGAAGCCTATGTTGTTGTACAGAAAGCTGAAAATTTGGGTAATTCAAAAATGCAACAACAAAAGACCTGAGATCAGGAAGGCAGTCTATGGAGCATGGAACAGGAAATATAAAAAGACTATTAAAAATCAGGGCAAAGCAAGCCTATTCAAGGAGACAACAACAGGGTTTAGAATTTATACAATTGGTGTGGACAACAGTAGAAACAAGAACATCAGTATTTAAACAATCCTCAATTTCAACCCCAGTACCAGGAGCTGCTCTCCACACCATGGTCCATTTCTACTCTAGGCTTGTTGGCAGGAGTAGATGAGACTGATTAAAATCCTACTTCATTCCTAAGATGAAAAGCAACTGGACCTAGAATATCAAATGCTGTCACCTGCCTGCCAAACTTAATGTGGGATACAAGAAGTGACTAACTTACCATTTGTCATGTCCTGACGCATTTTTACAGTCCTTAATATTCTGGTCATCCACAAAATCCTTACCACATATCAGCCTCATCAAAACATCCCTTTTCTTTTCCCCCACCTATTCCCTTTTCTGTTGAAGAGTGGCTTTTCTGAATGGGCTGCAGTTGTGATGTGCTAATCACACACCATGACCTTTATGTTCCACCTCCTGTCTTAATGCTATATCTTGGTACCATCCTCCACTTTGGGACTTGGTTGCAGCTTTTCTAGCTATGGTCTTATTCATCATATTGCATTTGAACCAACCTACTGGTGTTCCTCTTCTAACACTTCAATATTTATTCAAAGAAATCAAGGGAGTTCAATGCTATTTCTTCAAGCTTACTCTAACAGATATTCTATTTAACATTTACAACTGTTTAACCCAACGAATTCTGATGTTATGCACATTATGTGCCAGATACTGGATCTGGCACTGAAGATAAATGAAAATAAGATAAGATCTCTGTCAAGCATGGAGACAGACAAGCAAGCAAGTAGTGAAAATATGGATGATATATATTCTGTAGTAAAATAAAGAAAAGATGCTGGGTATAAACAGGAAGTAGCCGTTAAGTGCTTACATTCATTCATTATCAATAATTCAATTACTTTGTATAAAGCAACTTATATATGCCAAATAGCTAGTATAAAATTGGTATTGTTTGACGGGAAATTTGTTTTATGTTTTCTCAGACTAACAATATCCCTGCACCACCATTCTCACTGCTTCTCAGATGAGTGGGCATCTGTCCTACTAAAAATCATAGACACAATACCATGGAGATCCAGATTCTACAAATACAAGTTCTACTAGCTAGGCAATCCAGGTGATTCTGATTCAAGGATATGAGTCTTTGACTTTGAGAAAGACTATGTTAGAATAATCATTCTCAAAATGGATTCTGCCTAGAATATCAGTATGAGTATCCTTGGATATAAATGCCTGTTTTAAGAATGTAAATACCTCTACCCTGCACCTATGGAATCAGTAATTCTGGAGGTGGAGCTCAGCAATTGGTTTTAATAAGTGTTCCAAATATTCTGATACATTTTAGAGCCACACATTGAAGAGGAGTTATAGCCTGAAAACTGTGAAACAGATGATACTGGAAATATTTCTGCTGTGGAAATAGGTAGAAAATGAAACACTTACTGACAACAGAATTAATATTTCTATATCTGAATCTGCACCAGGGTACATATTTAGTAGCTCTGAATACTGCTAAATTCCATTGTTCATACATAGAAACCACAAGCCAGAATCCATGAAAGAACAAGTATTACCTTGAACTTCAGGTTCAAGGATTTCAACTGCCCAGACCAAGGATTGATGAAGTGCCTTTATTCAGACAAGTCAAAAATTGAGTACATGATGACACAGTAAATCATTTTATCTCAGCAATTGTTCATATACCTAAGATGTATCCAGGAATTTTTTTCTAATAAATAGCTAAAATAGGATTTTTCATTTAATGGGAAAATTTTATATATGGACTTGATTGTCCTTTGGGTCTGTGATTAAAGAAATTACATAACTGAGAGTATAGTTCAGTGGTAGATCACTTGCCTACCATGCAGGATGCTAGTTTCAATCCTCATAACTAGCAAAAAATGTATTTCAGAACATTTTAGCAATACATTTATCAGAAATTTTAGCAATAAAAAAGTTTCTACTCAAAAAATAAACAGCAAAATTATTTAAATAAAATGCCCAATTCCCTGACACACTTTTTAAAATAAAATAAAAGTAAAAATCCCAGAGTGTATAATATCTCACATGGTATTGAAATCATTATTTTAAGTTTTACAAATACACACAAGTATATATATATACATATATATATGTATATATATATACACACACAAATTAATTAAACTTAGGTAAATCTAGAATCTAGAAGTTAGAGGAACATTCTTGAAAAGTATCTTAATACATTAGTAAAGTCTATTTTAATTATATGTGGTAAGACTGAAGATAATAGCACTGGGAATTTTCTTGGACTGATGTCATAGCCAAATCTTTGATGGCAAGTATGTTGTGTTGAAGAGCTTCCCCCAGATCCCATCTGTGCCCTAAGCTCATAATTAAATTGAGTTTTGAAAAATTTGAACATATTAATAGGGTATACTTTATTCTTCGTCTTCTATGTAGTCGTCTTTATCATACGTGTAATGTTCAAATACAAAATTTTCTCTACAAAATTTGCCTATGAAAAGTGCTTTAAGGACACCCTGGAAAAATATTATGAATTCTAGAAATAAATAAATGCTAAAATAATGAATTCTAGAAGTCATATGACTTCTATGATAGGTCTCCAGTTATGTTGCAGTTTTTCCTGAGTTCAAACCATAGGACTCAAGATAGTTGGGGTGATTTAGGTGAATGATCAAAACTCCATGCTAAGAAGACATGATTAGCCAACAACTTAGGGCAGAGATTCTGAAGTTTTAACATGAAACAGAACTAGCTGGACAGGAGGAAAGCTTATGAAACAGATTTCTGAGTTTTTCTGCAAAGTTTCTGATTCAATAGGACTAAGATAAGGACCAAGAATTTGGGCCATATCTTGAAAACTACCATCTTAGAGAAGAGTATATAAGAGATGTTATCAAAGAGGAGGAATGGGAGAGGCAAGACCTGGAAGCAACACAGATCAGCAAGCTAGCAAAGGCTGTGGAAGTTGAAAACAATGAATGACTCCCGTGATGTCAGTTTCTCCTTTGCAGCCCAGATCCCATGTTCCCAGTGATGTGTTTTTCTATCTTGTAGGTA